GGTCTTCATGGCCTTGGACTTCATCGCGGACTTCATTGCCGGCGCCATGTCTTCCAACTTGGTTGGATGTTCGAGGAAGGCGTTGTGAAAGCTTGAGCAGCGAAGGCGATGCATGTGGATGGAAATCGCACCCTTCCACCGTGCTAATCTTCCGGCTGGCTTGCAGGACAGTTCAGGTCCTCCTGCTTGCAGCTTCAATTATGATCATTATGCCATTATGCAACCTCGCCCTGAAGGTCGAAAGTTTGCCTGACTCGACAGGATTCACACATCCTGCCTTCTTGAACTTGTTCTCGATAGAATCGCGCTCCGTCCTCGCATTCACAGGCGCGACGCTCAAGGGCCCTACCAGTCTCTCAGCCCGGGTAGACGGGATTCTAGGCGGATGCTGACGATCTTGTACCCCGCATCTTAAATCATCCGCTTCCCATATTGCGTAAACGAAATCTCGAAACTTGAACTGCCACGAGCCAGAGTCATTGCGAACTCCGTAGCTCCACAACACAAGCAGGAAGTAAACCTCCGACGCTCCTGAGCGCTTGTTCTTTGGTCATCATCTTCGAGTCGATGCTCTGTATCCAAACTGCCGTGTCAACGATCGCCTGCCGATTGCAGGGGTTGTCCCGCGAAAAATGTGCCATGTCGCAGGCAATTCATGAGTATGCCCGGAGCTCGATGGCTGTACACATGCTGCTCTTTCCTAGGTCACAGCATTTGGAGGTTCTGCAGCGGTCCGGCAACAAATAGCAGAATACTTTGCGAGGGCTTGCGTGTAAACTTACAACGCTTCACACAGCGCATCTTGATTGTTTTGCACGCTGCGAACATGCTCGGAGCCGTGGCTTCGCCAGTGGCTCCGGGACGAGGCTTTGGAGTCAAACAGCCCGGAGATGAGAGTTAAACAGATTCAAGAGGAGGCCAGCGTTTGGGGCTCAGGGTCGTCCGGCGTGAAGCGCTTTAGAGATACTATAACTATAGTGCTGGTGCACAGCCTTCCATGATTTTTCGGATGTTTTCCGCATCCAGCTACGTATCGAGCAACTCTGTACCTTGTTCTCAGCATCCTAAGCGTCCGCCTGACACCAGGTGACATCTGCAGCGTTCACGGAAAGAGATCCGTACCCGCTTCTGGCACATGTCCCAGATGGGGCCGATGGCTCTGATGCCAATGCGTCGAGAGCTATGTCACAGGCTGTGTCCACTCGACTTAATTTCTGCTTCTGTGGGGTCAGGTCTCTGGGCTTTGGGGCTGGGTGGGTTGCAGAAGGTTTCCAACCACGACTGGTTTTCGCCCCCGAAAGCAACAACCCATCGGCACATCTGGTCCGACCTTACGACGGTTTCATCTTCGGTAACGGCCCTTGCCCGACATCAGCCCAGCTGGGAAGACTGGGCATCCTGCGGGATGATCCAGAAGACCTCAGGTTTACGTTTGGGAGGTTCTCGGCAGCAACAGTAGCTACGGGCTTGGAGGCCAGACATCTTGCGTGGCTGAAGTATTTCTTACGGTTCCAGAGCGGGATCTGCGAATGTAGGAAGAAGTGGTGGCTGATCCTGAATCCACAGCCGGGTAAACGGGCCTGCATGGCAAGAACCGGCTCCCTACGCGCCACTATCCGTTCACCCAACATCTTCACCCCCGTGCTCTTCATTGTACCTCTGAATCCTCATACTGCAAATGTAACGTAGATCTTGCAAACTTGGGTTCCCGGAGCACTAGGCCCTCCAAGCTAATTGTCCGCAGATACTTGCTTAACTAAGCCAAGCAACTTGCACGTGGAACACCTCTGGAACGCTGGCTGCAGGGTTACGATACCTTGGCAACTGACAGATCAGAAGCGGCCTGCTCAGCTTGCACACAGAAACTGAGCAACATGTTTCAAAACGTGTGGATGATTGAAACTACAGCGAAACGTTTGACAAGTGCAAACTTGCCAACTTTTCCGACGATTGTGCTCTCCTCTAGGAGCTCCTCCGGCCACGGGTTGAGCCACACGACATTAAAGCACCGGAGACAAGCGCCGATAGCTCCGTGCGCGCCACAGATTTTGAAACGAGGGAAGCAAGACAGGCCAGATGTCAAGACTGCGTCTGCACCCACAGTCTCACGTTCAAATCAAAGCTTTGCTTTCGCCGGTTTGACCATGCCCATCTCCGTCATGAAGGCCGTCTGCAGCTCGAGCAGGTGCAAAACAGCTTTGGGCGGACGAGCCATTACCTCGAAGCGGGATACCTTTCCCTCTGAATTCAGGGTGACCAGGTCAATGCCTCGCATCATAGGCCCGTTTTCTGAGCCAAGGTTGCATTCGAACTCAAGTGCGAATCCCGCGTCCCCCAGGAAGGCTCGGGTGTACTTGAAGCGCTTGAAGGCCTTGCAAACACCGAGCAGCGCGAACTTGATGAACTGCTTGTCACGGCGTTCCTTGTGGTACGTCGGCGCAAGAAACACTGGCTCGTCGATCAGAATCTGATCCAAAATCTCCAACAGCCGCGTATCATCGCCACCCATTCCGATCTTGATCGCCTGATGCCATGCCAGCAACGTGGCTGTCGCCTGTGGGCTCTTAACATCACCAATGACTGACACCCCATCGGCCTCATAAACTGATCGCACATCCGCCGCCGCCATCTTGCTGGATTACACGTTAGTCACTCGGTACTAGCATGCAAACCTCAACAGCAAAGTTGAAGGAGAACATGCAGGAAGAGTACGAAAACTCAAACAATCTAGGTTGTTCACCGCCATCACTGTGGTATTTCTTTAGAACTAACCTCCCGCGATGACGACGAACTCTCAACCCCATGGGCCTATACTTTCAAGAAAGATAGGGACAGCTGGGGAATGATGCACGACTCAGATCGAGAAATCGCACCATTCTGAGTTCAGGCGTGGTTTCCTTTCAGCCGCTTGCGCTGTGCACCAAACCTTGTTCTAGAGTCTTAGAGCAAGAAGGCAACCCCTGAATGCGGCGAGAGACCAGATGTAGTCGACCTTGTCGAAGCCTTTGGAGCCCACCTGGAGAAACCGAGCCGAGGTCGAGGCTTTCAGAAGGGCCGAACAAAAAGCACTGCTGGAGGGTTTCTGAAACATGACGATGCATGAGGTGCAAGAGCCGAAGGCACATGTACCTGATCTTCAGGGTGCCCATCTGTGGCATGCTACTTGCTGTTGGGCTAGCTTCAGGAAAGTGTGTCTCAATTCCTTCAGTATGGAAAGACAAACGAACAAGGCCCCACCCTGCCTGTTTGCTTCATGACCAAGCAAACAGCAGCTCTCACAGTTGCAGCGTTTGAAGTGATACTGAGAAACGCAAGGTATCGACTCTGCAAAATCTCACGGCTCCGGTCACAGTTCCTCCACTGGGTGCATGACCATCGTCATCAGCTCCCGTCTTACGTCCTCTAACGAGATGCACTGCAACAACAAGCGTTCTCCCGCACAGTTTCTGCAAGTGACGACTCCAACTCCAGAACTGTCAGTGTCAGCCTCAAATTGAACACTACCGAGGAAACGTCCAACCCCAAACTCTAGCTCCAAAATCCCAAACCGGAAACGATGGCGAAAATACTTCATTGTTGTGCAGCATGGGCATGCCAGATCTCTCCTGATCGATGATATCGTCGGGAAAATCCGCCACCTGTCTCAAGATACAAAAAAATCACACAAAGGTGTCGTAAAAAACACCCAACCTTAAGCTAGATAATTGCAATTTCTTGAACACATATATACCCGCTCGGCGTGCTGTGCTGCATCGAATCTGGCCTCCTCCCAGGGGAAGTGCAAGTACCTAGCAGAAAGGGCGGCACGCGGTACTCCGGAGGCGTGTCGGGTGCAGAGGTTTACTTATCGGTGATGAGTCGGCGGCTCGTGAGGCGCACATCATACCTTTTGAGGCACGCGCGTACATGTATGCATAGATAGATGTACCGATCGACTGATTAGCTAGATTTCACTGACGGATGGATGTTCTTGCTGTAGGCTGACTCACAGACTGACAGATAGACACACAGACACAGACTCACAGACGAGGCAGGCTTCCATCGATCCGGCTGTCTATATAACTGCGCCATCGCACCACAGCAGCCAGTGCTGCGCGCGTTGCTGCAGCGGGCTTTTGCCAGGCCTAGGAGGGGGTTGAAGCCCGGAGGTCTTCCAACCGGGACAGGTTCAGGGCTGCAGGCTGCAATGCACAAAATGGCTCGGAAGATTCAGGTTAAGACACAGAAAGTCGTGTCTTGGCCTTGGCAGGGACACACCTACCCTCCTACGTCAACCCGCAGCCTTCAATGACCTGCTCTTGAAAACTGCGAACTGTCAGCAAACCCTCCAAATTGAAATCGATGTTTCGCTGAAGGCAGTTCCGGCGCCTCTCCGGCAGCTGGTAGGGATAGCGGTTGGCGGCGAAGACAGGCTTTGGTCGTTCGACGGCACCGCTAAAATCAGCCTGCCAGGTGCCAGGATGAGAACTTCTCCAGACCCAGCCAGTCCAACGAAGGAAATGGAGGTTCGGTTGACCACTTCGCGGCTACGGTCGACAAGGGCCCATTTTCATTCTAGAACTAGGGGTCACTATTCTTGCAATTCTGCGGATTGTTCACATGGTTGGGAACACCACGGCTGGATATGCCTGCAATTTCTACTCTGCATTATTGCTGTGATGCTTTTCTGTTTGTGATGTAGTCGTGGCAGCAGTAAGTCATCGATGGTCGTTGCAGCAGTAGATGCGGAGCGGCAGCAGCAGCAGCAGCAGC